CGTGCCCTGGCCCGGGAAGATCCCACATGCCACGGAGCGGCTGGGCCCGTGAGCCGTGGCTGCTGAGCCTGTGCGTCCGGAGCCTGTGCTCCTCAACGGGAGAGGACACAACAGTGAGAGGCCCGCATACCGCACAAAAAAAAAAAAAGCAAAATTAAATCAATGCTAATATTTATAATTATCTTGATAAATATAGATTTAATTTAAATGAGCTTTATAATTATAGAACTGAATTATACAGAATGGCAAAGTAAGCAGGTGCAAAACTACAGGAAAATAATCTTTGTTTCTTATGGTATGAATCTACTGACAAGTAAAGGTAATCAAGTTGATATCCTATGTTGAACTCTACTAGAATGTTTACAGCAGTTTAAGAAAAAAATATTACAATTTATCAGCAAGCTAGACAATGTACTAATTTAAACTTCCCATTAAATAGAACCTAGAAACAGTAAAGTTAAAATCTAAGTGAAAACTGTTTATAGACAATTTTTCTTTTTGCTTATTAAAAACTTTATGATGAATTCTAATGAAACTAAAGTAACTAATTTGTTTATTTCATTCTTTAATTGAAAAAGCAAAGGTAACAGCAATATAATAGATACAAATTGTAATCATAATACAAATCTCTTCCTTTAAAAAAAAGAAAAAAACATAAAAGTGGATTACAATTTTGAAACATTTTCAGAAGAAGCAAGTCTCATTCACGCCACAATGAATCAGGTTGGTATAATAGCCTTGAAGAAAAAGGAACAATTTTCTGTAACAATCATTTGGCCCTTTATCTATCTGGTTACTAGTTTAGCTCAGAGGTTGATCTGCCTTTAGTCAAGTATTAAAAGCCAACAAAAAACCTATTGTATTTTCTGAAAGATTTAGTGTTATTTGAGTACAATTTTAAAGTCTTTTTGACATCCAGAATTTATAATTAAAGCCCTTAGGACTTTCTCACCCTTTTAAAATAAGCATACCCTGAACCAAAAGAATGTTTATTATGAAACTAAGGACAAACCTTTGAGATAATCCCTGAGGCCAAAAGGAACAAGAATTTTTATGTTTAGATTGTCATAACCACAGAAAAGAGCCTATTATTAATGCTATAAGAAAGTTCACCTTCATGTGTGCCCCCTCTACTGTAATTTTTATGCCATTATTTGAAATTCTAATACTTTAAAATTTTATATTCATGATATTCAAAGGATTCATAATGAAATTTATATAACAAAATGACCAATCCCCAATTTATAAATCCTCAAACACTGAGTCCTTAGCCACCCTACCAACTCTATTCCTTTCACTCTAACCATCTTCAGTATCACCCTCTTACCTTCCCTCCTTCCTTCCAAACTTCTTTAAGATCCTTCAAAATATAGCTCCAACCTACTTTTTTCTCTCATCTCCCACTATTCTACCAATCTGCATCCCATGTTCTAGGCTCAGACTACTAACTATTCTCTGAGACTACTAAGCACTTTCATGGGCTCTGAGAGAGGAAAACCCATGTTCAAAATCTAGCTCCATTATTTACTAGCAATGTGATCTTCAGCACAATACTTAAACTCTCTGTGCCCCCTCTCCATATGCAAAACAGGGATTAAAATGCCTATCTCAAGAGTTGTGAAAATTATACTTTTGATTAACACAGAGATAGCCAATACAGATACCACAAACATCCAACTAATCACCTTTGAAAGCATGAATAAGACACAAAGTACACAGGTACTGAAACAAGATTTTAAAAGGAAGTTTAAAAAAAAAGAAAGTTTTATTTATACCATAACCATCAGAACAATGACACATAACTAAGTGGTGCAGTCACACCCTAACAAAATTTAAGAGGGCTACCCTCTTTTATTACCCTCATTTCCATACTCTACCCAACAAAACAATGGAAAATAATGCCAGTTCTCCCACTTTTATTTTCTAGATTAACACCAGCAACTGCTCAAGGTCAGAATACTGCAATTCATCCTTGCCTGCTCTTTCTAACCTCACTACCTACACGAAATTAGTCACTCGAATATTTTAGTTCTAAAACATCCCTTTTACCTACCTCCCTCAGTTACTACCTACTCTAAGCACTCATTATTTCTCACCCAAATTGCTGCTACAGCCCCCAAAAAATGGTTTCCCAGCCTCGAGTATCTCCTGTCAATATTCCACATCACTACCACAGTATGTGGCTGGCCATAGAATAAAATCTTACCCTTACAGTCTAGCTTACAAAGCCCTCATTAACCCAGGTCCAATCTGTTTTTCAAACCTCATTGCTAGTCATTCCCCATGTCTACCTACCTATAACAGATTACTTGCTACATTACCCAACATGCTCAACACCTTTATATCTCTGTGACTTTGTCTTTTGCTACAAATGTTCTTCCATCTTCTTTCTACCTGGTAAACCACTATTCATCTTTTAAGATCGAACTCAAATGTGTTCAAACTCTACCTCTATTTCCTAATGCTGAATTAACTGTTTTGCTATCTATATTCCTGAAACACTTTATAAATAAATGCCTACACTGCTTTCACATTAAATTATAATTACATAATTATCTCCCCCTTTAGAGTATGAACTTACTGAACACAAAGATCATATATCCTCAGCAAGTAAATAGTTCACATAGAACAATTACTATTTGCTGAATTGAGCTAAAGTTCAGAAAATAAACTATAAGTCCATGAAGCGAGGTCCCAAACTTCATCAATATTTTCAAATGCAGCAGAACTGCTCTTTGTCTAACATGATCAGGATCAGTAGTTGATTACTTAGAAAAGTCTGTTAAAGAAGGGAAACATACATACACTCTTCTTAAACACTTTATTTTAACTTAAAGCATATGCAGTAAGTGTATAGTCATTCTCTAATGTAATAACACACAGTCAAGATACAGTTTTTAATGGGAATTGTGCTTCCTTCTTGCATAATCCATACCTGTCATTTATACTGCTCAGTTTCCATCTTTTTAAAATGGATCAAGGACCTGAGAACTAGAATCCTTCTAGAGGTTTGTAATTTTTCCCAATCTTATAAACTACTTAATTAAATTAATTACAAGTACAACTGACATAAGAAGGTTTGGTTACCAGTACAACCAACTCGATATATAACTGAACTGGTGAGAGAAGTACAGAGGTATAGAAATCTTCTAATGGACAAGATTCATCATGCATTCATTATGCTTCGATCATCAGTCAGTACATGTTACAGAAGGACTGGGAAATATCAGTTACTCCAATGAGTCAATTAAGCGGAGTTTTGTTAAGAGAGCACCAACATAATGCAACTAAAGATAGTCCTTCGTGAATATATCAATACATAATAGCAGAATCACTTTCAGATTAAATGCTCTGAGCCAGCTTTCTTATCTGGTAAAGAAAAAATGGCATATTGTAAGCCCTAATATCTGGACTTGCTCTTACCTGTCAATCCTAGCTCCCACTTCTGGACACGATTTTACCTATGGGTCCTCAGGTTGTTCATATCTTCAAACTTCATAGCAAAAAACACGTATTTCTTAAAATCATGGCTCAACTAAAACCTTGTTCCAGAATCACGATCCCATCTTCCCCACCTTCTTGGTCCATCAGTTTCTTTTAATTATCCTACCTGCCTGCTTGGACTTGAGACCATGTATTCAACTTGCTCTGTGACATCTATAATCTCCTTTCCCTTTATTGCCTGACCAGACTTTTGAATAACAACACGGCCTTCAAAATAAATGTAAGCTAAGTGTCTTCCTGCTTGGTGTCCAACTGCCTGTCCTAAACCAAATATCTAAGTATAGTCAGATTTCTACATAGCTGCACACTTGCCCATTCTTGCAGATTTGTTTTCAGTTTATCGTCTCAGTCTACATCCTAACTTTTCTACTTTGTCTTAGCACTCCCAATTCTACCATCTTTTCAGCTAAAGTTCATAGCCATTCATGGTTGCTAAGACTACATACAAAGTACAATGAATACAATTAGAATAAAAAAGCAATGGCTCCAAGGCACTAAAAGATCCCAGAAAAAGCCTAACTTATGTCTGTACATGCTACTTGCTATGATACAATAAATGAACTTAGATATTTTAGAAAAGTTTCAATAACAGGTGAAACAAAAGATTTTCTGGGTTTTTCTTAGTTAATAAAGAAATTAAAGGAACTAGAATACTCCACTCCTCAGGAATTTGAATTTTCTAAATATTTACCATATATAAATATTTTAAAGAATGATAAATTTTATTATAATCATATTTTAAACACAAAATAATGTGAGTATAGCTTGGTTATCAGGTTTGAGAGAAGAATAAAAAGATAACTGTTTAATTCTCTTAATCTTGTTCTAATTTTCATAGTCTCTAATTTTTGTATTATTTCCAAACCTATGGTGAGTAATATTATGGCAAGTTTTTAAAAAACAACATTAATTATTTTAATTGATGTATAACAAATTCAGACTTTTTAACATCTGTGACATCTTATTAAAAAAACAGAAACAATACTTTCTTTTGATGAACGCTTCTTTTTGACTAATCACAATAGAAAGAATAAGCACTAAGATTACTCTAACTTCAGATTCTAGAATAACATTGAATAATAGAATGCCACTTCAACAGTCAACTGCTCAAAGTATTTTCAAATTACTGCATGCACAGAAGCATAAATGATGATAAACAACTTATGGCTTTAGTCACCATGGAAACCCTATTTCTTAAAAAACTGAATATTTTTTTCTTGCTTACTCTAATACATCATCAACGTATAGATGATATATACACATACAGCCTTGCTTCCCATCTATAAAGTAGTAGTACCTCTATTAGTCATATTTTTCCTAAGACAAAATGTTTATTACTTAAGTATGTCCTTTAAGTGCAATGCAAAATAATTAGGTAAACATCAGCTACTACAACAAAACCTGTCAGAGACTTTTATATGAGATGTTCTCCTAGGCATCTAAAAGATAAAAGCACACAGGCTGGCACACCAAAAGTATAAGCATTAAAAACATACCAATTTCTTCCACTTCTTCCAGGAAATCATTATATTCTCTTAGACTAGGAAAGTCTTCTTCCCTTTTATTGTATCTTTAAGAGAAGAAAAAAATGAACATATTCCATATCATTTGCTTTCAATAGTAACTAACTGGTTTGTTTGTTCTTACTAATTCATACATGATACGTAAAAAAAGACTGCTTACAGCGTAAAACAGTTTTCTTGACACCAGGTTTGTAACTACAGCAAGAATGTTCTTAAATTCTTATGACTACAGAGAAGAAGTAGAATCAGGAGAGAATGGTACAACATGTAAAATCCTAAGACTTAAGGGAAAAATAAAGAAATTAGGACACTGAAGAAATGGGAAATGAGCTTAAACAAGGTCTATCATTGGAATTATGATATTGTTTACTTCTAATAAATAAGAGTCACTAATTTCCAGAAAGCTAAAATTAATTAAAAAGACACCTTCCTGGGATTTCCCTGGTGGCACAGTGGTTAAGAATCCACCTGTCAATTCAGGGGACACGGGTTCAATCCCTGCTCCAGGAAGATCCCACATGCCGCGGAGCAACTGAGCCCGTGCACCACAACTACTGAGCCCATGAGCCCATGCTCCGCAACAAGGGAAGCCACTGCAATGAGAAGCCCGTGCACCACAAAGAAGAGTAATCCCCACTCGCCGCAACTAGAGAAAGCCCGAGTGCAGCAACAAAGACCCAACACAGCCAAAAATAAATAAATAAATTTTAAAAAATAAAATAAATAAAATGTTTCTCTAAAAAATAAATAAAAAGACACCTGCCTGTTTTTCATGACAGTTACAGTCTAAAGGATGCTAGATCAAGAAAATCTATAAATATTATAAGTGTGCCTGTGAAGAATTAGGAAACGAGAGGGCTTAATGAAAAAGATAAGAATCTAAGAGAGACTATCTCCCATAAGCAATCCAAAAACTAAAAGAGTAGCTTGGGGTATTGATAAAGTAACACTTTATCTAGTAAAGTACCTAGAAAGATGCCGCTAAAACATTGGTGACCAATGTTGAAATGTAGACCACCTAGATAGATAGATATTAATTCTTTAAACCTAAAAAACAACAAAACTAACATACCGTTGTAAAGCAATTATACTCCAATAAAGATGTTTAAAAAGAAAGAACAAAAAAATAAATAAATAAAAAACAATAAAGTGGCTTATAACAAAAGTACAGATAAAATGAAATCCAAAACTACTAACAAAGAGTAAAAAATTAAATCATAAGTGAAAAAGAATACTAGAAATATTTATGTACTCACATACACACAGAGAGATCTATCAAAATAAATTGTAGCTAATGCTGATTTTTCTCTAATAGCTTTCAATCTCAACTTAAATGTTACCTCCTCAGGCCTTACCTTACATCACTGACTCACAACAACATTCAGTCCCTAACTTCATAGCATTTTTCTCAATGTATAATCACATATTTGTTTTGTTTGCCTGTTTTACTGTCTATGTCTATGCTATCCAAGCTACTGTACTGTAAGCCTTTCAAGGGCCTAATATGTATAACACTGTTCGAACAGAATAGGTACTCAGTATATATTTACTAATTAAATTAAAGAATAAATAAAGCAAATAAATTGTGAAGCCATCAATTTGGAGGATTTACTCTTCTCTGGGAGTTCCCTGATGGCCTAGTAGTTAGGATTCTGGGCTTTCACTGCCATGGTCCAGGTTCCATCCCTGGTAGGGAACTGAGATCCTGCAAGCTGTATGGAGTGGCCAAAAAATTTTTTTTAATTTTTTAATAAAAAAGATTTACACTTCTCTAACAAAGATTAGATAATTAGGGACTTCCCTGGTGGTCCAGTGGTAAAGAATCCACCTTCCAATGCAGGGGACAGTAGTTCGATCCCTGGTAGGGGAACTAAGATCCCACATGCAGTGGGACAACTAAGCCCGCAAAACACAACTACTGAGCTTGCACGCTCATCTAGAGAGAGCCCGCGTTCCGCAAACTACAGAGCCCACGCGCTCAAGAGCCTGCATGCCACAATTAGAGAAGAGAAAACCCAGACGCCACAACTAGAGAGAAGCCCGCACGCCACAACGAAGAGCCTGCGGGACGCAACAAAAGATCCCACATGCCTCAACTAAGACCTGACGCAGACAAATAAAAAAAGATTAGATAATTAATATTACTGAGCTCTCTAAGACCTTAATAATTTTTTTAACATTGAACAATTACATAAATGAATTTATACTTATTCACTTGTCAAACTGTCCACATTTCTACAAGTAAATAATTATATCAATTACAGAAATAATTGTTAAAGTCCTCTTTGTGAACTGAATCATTCAAACATTAACACTTACATCTTTAGCACTTTTTTCCGAATCTCAACTTCCTTGTCAACAGTAGGATCTTCAAAGAGTTGTACCCTGAAGTTGCTCTTTCTAAGTGGAGTGCCACACTCAGGACAGTTTCCAGCTCCTCTCACAAAGAGTAAGTCCACGCAACTTTCACACCTGTAAGGAGGAAAATATAACTTTTAAGCTAGTATTCAAATTGGCAACAACTCTATATAGTTTGCCTTTGTTTTGGTGTTTCTTTGTTTGGGGGGGCTGCAGGGGGACAGGAAAATTAATCATTGCTGCTTAAACTCTTATTAAAAACCTTTGGGAAAAAAGTTCATTTTCATTTGGAGCCTACTTCAGACATAGGTGTCCCAAGGGTTACCAGTTTAGTTTTACAAATTAAACAAATATACAAGTTTTTAAAAATTGATTTGGGATCTGGGAGGACTCAGATAGCAGGACAGGGGGAAGTCAAAGAGGCACATAAAAGAGCAGTCTAGGGTCAACTCCACTCTCAGTCCAGTATCACCGTTAGACCTGGCAGGGGCCTGCACTTTAGAGAACACTGCATATCATAATCACTAAAACAAAAACTTTTTTTCCCCTTTCAGCCTTTGTAAGGAAGTTTTTTAAAGTTCCGTTAGCAATTGAATAAGTGGCAGTTACTCAAAAGGGAGAGGTGCTAGCTGAAGGAGGCCCCCAGGCCAGAGGATAAAGAACTGAGAGTGACCTAGTATATGTGGAGAAAGGAGAAAATCACCACAGCTTCTGCCCTGAGAAATCCTAGAAAGAGTGGCTACTTATAAAATCTTTAATCAGTTAAACCTGGCTGTCCTAAATTCACCAAAGTGATTGCCCAGGCAAGCCAAGTTTCCCAAATACCTCCATCCCTTCTTTCCTCCCTTCTTGGGTAGTACAATTTGGGGAAGAACTTAGAACTTCCTGGAAGTCTTGAGTTGGGAAAGAAAGAAGCTGGCAAGGTTAACGAGATTCCTGCAAATTAAGATTCCTGCGAATTGACAGGGTCAGTTCATATACTGTTTTAGATGGGTCCAGGCACCACCCAATCATCCCTGCCCCGCCCTGCCCTAGTAGATCCATGCTAGTAATCAGACTAGCAAGTGGAAAGGCTGACCAGAAGAAAGGAGCTGCTTTAGCCTGTGGGTCTTAAAGATTCAGGTTCCTGGGAACTCAGGAAGCAGCGTTGGAACTAAGGCTGCACTAAAGATGTAGCTTGATTCATACTTTCAAACATTTAAACATTTTGGTATGTAGTCCTCCAATTGTAATATTGCCCCCAACTCCATATGTTAGGGCCATACCAACCCTATCACTCCTTTCTTAGCACTATATGAAATTATTTATTTCTTTATGTGTTGATTTTCTGTAACCTCCACTAGAATGGAGGGCAGGAATTTGCCCTATAATTATTCTAAACACATCACAACACACACACAAAAAAAAGGACAAATTCTAATAAATAAGGGAAAAGTTGATTTCTTCCAAATATGTAGATGATTTATGGAATAAGCTAAATGAGAAGAATGATACAGCTAAATAAGAATATTTAAGGTTAGTTATCAGTAAAATACTAACATTGACCTTTGCATATTTCTATCTTAAAGTAGAGGGGAAAAAAATCCATCAAAAAATAGAGGCAAAAAATCCCTAAGAGGGAGAACAGAGATCATAGTTGTCATTATTCAAGATCAACAAAACCCCAGAAAATTCACTTGGGATTGGGAAGATTGGGAGTGGTACATTTTGCCTAATCTTTGTGGTTGGAGGAAATTAAATCCAACTAGAGAAGTTGAAAATAAGGACACTTTAGAACTACACTGACTAAAGATATTTATAGGCAAGGAGCCATCTGAAATACTCAAAACCATTGAGCCATTACATAGAATATTCTATATTTCAAGGTCTTGGAGTCAATAATTCAGTTAACAAGGTAATATAGAACACTTTAGTATTTCTAAAAGTCATATTGTAATCTCAGACATATAATTTGTTACCACCATCAGTTCTACATCTCCACTTTTTAAAAATCTACCTTAAATCATAAGGATTTCAACAGTATTAAGGTTTTTTTAAAATAATTTATTTTCCCATACTTTTCCCTTTCTGATTTTAATTGCTAAAAGAACAAATAGTTCTTTTTTTAAAGCTCAAATATAGAAGTATATAGAGAAAAAACTCAAAGTTCTACTTCATTCTCTTCTACATCTCACTTCCCACATGTACCATACAACTGTTAAGTTCCATGTTTACGTGACCAGATCTTTTTCTACATACTTACAATATATGTATTTACAGATTATATACATGAAAACTAGTCATACAAAAAAAGAACAGAAGAAAAAGTTCCTTATTGCTAGTTCACTTCATCTGGCAGCAGAGCAACCAAAAGAGCAGTATGTGGGCAATCTTTTGCCTCCAAGAGTGCTAGGAACTTTTTCAAACAAAATCTTATATTCTGCAGAACATAGGAAAATTTGCTGAAAAAGCCCAAATCCTCAGTTATTACCCATCCCCAAAGATATTTTTATGGTTTTCTTTTGTTTTTAAAAACCAGAATGGTGCCTGCCCTCTTTTCTCTCTGAACAACTTATTTTTAGATTTTATTTTCTTCTATCAAGGATATTTAACTGCTTATATTCCTCTGTCAAGATTTTTAATCAGCTTGTTTCTTCTTTTTCCAGAGCTAAGAAGTCAATTAAAAATCTTGACAAAGACTAGATACAAAAAAACCTACAGCTAACATCATACTTAATGGTGAGAAACTGTAAGTTTTCCAACTAAAATCAGGTACAAAGCAAGACTGTCTCCTACTCTCACTGTCTCCTACTCTCACTACTCCTTCTCAACATGATACTGGAAGTCTTTGCTAATGCAGTAAGACAAGAAAAGGAAATAAAAGATATACAGATTGGAAAGGAAGACACAGAGCTCTCTTTGTTTACAGATGACATGATTGTCTATGTTAAACATCCAAAAGAATCAACCAAAAAACTTCTAGAACTAATAAGTGATTATAGCAAAGTTGCAGGATACAATATACAAAAAGTCTACTGCTTTCCTATGTACCAATAATGAACAAGTGCAATTTGAAATTAAAAACACAATACCATTTATGTTAGCTCCCAAAAATTTGAACGTTTAAGTATAAATCTAACAAAATATGTACAAGATATTGTACAAAATGAGAAAAACTACAAAACTCCTATGAACAAAATTAAAAAAGAATTAAATAAATGGAAAGATTTTCCATATTCATGGACAGAAAGAGTTCATGGAAAGGAAGACTCAATATTTTGAGTTGTCAGTTTTTACCATCTTGATCTATAGATTCAATGCAATTCCAATCAAATTGCCAGGAAGTTAGTGTATGGACATCAACGAACTGATTCTAAAGTTTATATAAAAAGGCAAAAGACCAGAATAGGTACCATAATGTTGAAGGAGAAGAACAAAGTTGGAAAACTGATGCTACCTGACTTCAAGATTTACTACAAAACTACAATAATCAAAACAGTGTGGTATCGGTAAAAGAATAGATGAATAGACCAATGGAACAAAATAGCCTAGAAATAGACCCACATAAATATACTCAGCTGATCTTTGTCAAAAGAGCAAAAGCAACACATGAAGCAAAAACAGTCTCTTCAACAAACTGGACATCCACATGGAAAAAAATGAATCTACACATGAACCTTACACCCTTAAAAAATTAACTCCAAACTTAACTCACAGGTCTAAATGTAAAATGCAAAATTATAAAACTCCTTGAGTATAACGTAGGATAAAAACTGTATGACTCGGGGCTTCCCTGGTGGCGCAGTGGTTAAGAATCTGCCTGCCAATGCAGGGGACATGGGTTCGAGCCTTGGTCCAGGAAGATCCCACATGCCGTGGAGCAACTAAGCCTGTGGGTCACAACTACTGAAGCCCACATCCCTAGAGCCCCGTGCTCTGCAACAAGAGACGCCACCGCAATGAGAGGCCTGTGCACTGCCTGAAGAGTAACCGCCGCAACTAGAGAAAACCCACACACAGCGACAAAGACCCAATGCAGCCAAAAATAAATTAAATAAATAAATTAAAACAAAAACAAAACTGTATGACTTTGGGTATGGTGATGACTTTATAGATACAACACCAAAGGCATGATCCATGAAAGATATCACTGATAAGCTGGATTTTTTTTTTAATTAAAAATTTCGGCTCTGCTAAAGATGACATCAAGAGAAAAAGAACACCTGATAAAGGACTGTTATCTAAAATATACGGGGGAGAAAACGTCTTAAAAAAATGGGCCAAAGACCTTAACAGACAACTCACCAAAGAAGACACGGGTACACCTCATTTTATTGAGCTCTGCTTTATTTCACTTTGCAGATACTGTGGTTTTTACTAACTGAAGGTTTGTGGCAACTGCATTGTCAGATGATAGTTAACATTTTCTAGTAATAGAGTATTTTTTAATTAAGGTATGTACTTTTTTTAGACATAATGCTACTGCACACTTAATAGACTACAGTGCAGTGTAAACATAACTTTTATATGCATACTGGGAAACCAAAAAATTATTGACTCATTTTATTGCAATATTCACTTTATTGCAGTGGTCTGGCACTGAACCCACAATATCTCCAAGGTATGCCTGTATACAGATAGCAAATAAGCACATGAAAAGATGTACCACATAACACGGCATCAGGGAAATGCAAGTTAAAACAATGAGGTATACACTACACTCCTATTAAAATGGCCAAAATGCAATATACTGACAACACCAAATGCTTACAAAGACGTGGAGCAACAGGAACTCTCATACATTGCTGGGGGGAATGCAAAATGGTACAGTCACTTTGGAAGACAGTTTGATGGTTCTTTATGAAACACAGCATGCTCTTACCATACAATCCAGCAATTATGCTCCTTGGTATTTAACCAAAGAAGTTGAAAACTACATCCACACAAATACCTGCACAAATGTTTATAGAATCTTTGTTCATAATTGTGAAAACTTGGACACAACCAAGATGTCCTTCAATAGATAAATGGATACATAAACTGTGGTATATCCAGACAACAGAATATTATTCAGCACTAAAAACAAACGAATTATGAAGCCATGAAAAGACATGAAAGAAGCTTAAATGCATATT